ATATCACTTTACGACACTGATGTGTAGATTTGATCTGAAAATTTCTCAAGAACAGTCAATATATGAAGGTATAGACTTTTTGTTAAAGACAAGCAAGTGACTTGTTATCTGTGAAGAAAAAAAAGTTGTTAAAGACAATTGTTTTGTTATCTGTTTAAAAACGAACTGTGTTAAAGACAAGCAAGTGCCTTGTTATCTGTTAAGAAAAAAAAAGTTGTTAAAGACAAGAAGTGTCTTGTTACTGTTGAGAAATAGAACGGTTTTAAAGACAAGCAAGTAACTTGTTACAGTACCTGTTATTCATTTATCAGTTAGGACTTTCTGATCAGTTATACCAACAATTATGGAAACCTATATTCTCATATTGTTTTTGCAGGAATTTAAAGTAAGATGTTTTTTTTTTGCTTATTACTCACTATAAATACTAGTTTAATTGACAATATGCATGGTATCGGGACATTTCCTACCTTATATTGCGTTATCTAACTTGGTATATGAAAATCAAAAATAAAGACTGGTGAATGTATTGATTACAAAAAAAGTAAATTGCATTTAAACATTCAGATGTCACTGTTAAACAAAGTGTCCTCTCCATAACATACAATGTATATCAACAGTCACTCTTTGAGAGTTTGGATTATAGAAAAAATAAATAATAAGACTTGTATATAAAAACTGGTGTATCAATAGACAATATCAGTATTGTTTTTATTGTAAAATACTGTTTAAATAACATGAAACAATGTATGAATAACAAAACTTTCACGCCATATATTCTGAGATAAAGTTGGAGTTGTAATGATGGTGAATAATTTGAAGTTTATCCTCTCCAATATATGTCACTTGGCTCATATAATGTTCCAATAATCTATTGGCATGTTCTTACAGAAATGTTAGAAATGAATGATGCATAGCAATTTACATATCAACTAATATAGTAAGAGTTCATATTGCTAAGATTTGTTGTTAAACAAATGTCCTCTCCAAAACACGTCAATGAATTAAGTTTGGAAGCTCATATTTGATTAAAACTTGCATTCACTTGTTTTTTTTTACACAGCATCAAATAATTTAGACATAAATGCAACACTGTATACCAAATTTGAAGTCTATATAAGAAGAAGGACAAGAAATTCTCATGTCATTAAATAAATTCAACCTCCCCATAATTCAGTTTCCTATAAAATACACTAATTTTATGGCAAAATATGGCTTAAGTGAATAGGAAATAAGTGCATCAACATCTGATAAGTATAAAAAGGCATATAAAAGTACAGAAAACTATGTGTATACCATTTACAGGTATAATAAAGCTGATGTGTTCTTTGTTAAACAAAATGTCCTCTCCAAACGCCTATTTTTGTTACTGTATTTCAATCGAATATTTCTATATGTAAACACGGACTTGACGCTCTATAATTTTACACATTTCTGACATATACCCCAAACTTTCAGAATCTGTGCATCTTTTGCTCTAACAACAATTTTCATTTTTGACCCCCAGTGAGAAAAAAAGTGTACACTTAACGTGAAATGACCCATATACCTTTTCATATATATATATATATATATACATGTATATACATTAATTTCTGAAAGATGCATTATTTTACATATTTTACATTATATTTCCACAGAAATATATTATTACAACCATTGTAACATATTCTTTTTTACATTCTACACATTGACACAATATGAATATTTTAAATATTCACATATTTCATTATTTACATATTTTTATTTATATATTTTACATATTTATAATCCATATAGACATCGACCATGTGTTATATATAATTGAAAACAATCAAAGCATAACTATGGTGATTTTTATAACAATATATCTCTTACGATTATGTGTGTGCATGTTGAAAGATCAACATTAAGAAATGGTCCTGGGGATTATACTAACATTGTAACAAAAATAGAAAAATGGATTGCTTAAGGTTCAGTCAAACAGCATGGGCAACGGAAGAAGTCATCATCCGCTACCTCCTTTCCTGCACAGCGTCCAAGGTGGACCCAGTGCTGGCAGGATTCACATTCCGCCCACATGATGTTAGTGTTGGCATTATCTGAGTCTGTAGGAGGATCGTCGAGGTTGCACTGACAACATTTCTCCCCATCATTCCCATTATCCTGGGCATTGACGTGATCACGTGTAGGTCTTTCAACGGATGTCTGCGCGGTTGCTGAACGGAAAATTGTTAAAAAAATTCCATTCTCCTTAAGGGCTACTCCGCCAGCTTCATACTCGGGTGCAGCACGTCGCTTCCTCTTGTTTGCTTTTTTTGTCGGAGGGGATGGTGCTTTGCTCGCTAGGAGAGCTTCAACGTTGCTACTAGACGGTTGAGGTGCCGGGTGCCCTTCACAGTTTGTCACCGTACTAGGTCTTGTCATTCTGATGACATCGATAGCCTCTGGATTGAAGGGGCATACTCCAGACTTCCTGAAGGCTCCCTCCAGATTCCCCCTCCTCATCGATTGTAGGTACGAATGGCTTATCAGCCCGCAAAGGTCGTACCTGGTGATGGAACGTCCTGGATGTCCAGCTAGGAAGTCCGTACATTGTCTGTTAAAATGTGCCTTCATTGGGCCAAAGCACCCGACATCCAGAGGCTGGAGAATGTGGCTCGTGTGAGGTGGCAGAAGGAAGAGGATGATATTGTTCCTTCGTGCTTCCTCTATGAGGGGGACAGTGATGTGGCTCTTATGACCATCATAGAGGAGCAGTACCCTTTGCTCTGGGTCTCGATCTGGCAGGGATGGAATAAAGTGCTTGCTCAGGAAGTCCCTGAACACAACACCGTTACTCCATCCACTGTCGGTCATCTTGAAGCGGCTGCCTGGTAGACTGCCCTCCGATAATTCCGTTGAGAAGTTCTTTCCCTTGAAGATCAGGTAGGGTGGAAGGGAGGTGCCTTGGGCAGACCCACAGGCCAGGAGGGTGGTAGTGGCTGATCGGCAAGAAACGATTGAAGGTGACCTCTTGCTGCCACTAATCACCCTCAGTGGTGCATGTTCTTGATTAAACCCAGTCTCATCTACGTTGTAGATAAACTGTGCCTTGTCCTTCAGGTCGTACTTTGTTAAAATTCGGTTCAGTTCCTCATAGTACTTGGTTATCCTAGCTGATGTTGTCGCTATGGCTCTGTTTATTGCCAAGGAGCGCGGTCTTATAACCCGAAGAGCTGGCCATCTCCGCATAAAACCATAAAACCACCTTGTAGATAGTGTAGGGCCTGCAGTTGCTTTCGTCGCATCAAGGAGCACCTCTGTTGCTAGCTTCAAAACCTGTAAATTAGATATAATATTTGCCTATAATTAATATCAATATTGTAATATGTAATACATAAATAGTAAATTGTGAAAAGGTTCAGTTATATAAGCTTTATGATGATGTTGATGTTGATATTCATTAATTTTTTCAATAATAAATGATGATCTATGATGAAGAAGAGAATAATAAGATTGATAATAATAATAATATAGTTATGATAATGACAGAATTAATAATAATTATAGCAGGGGTGGTAGTTTAATATTATCAACAACAATAGTAAAAAATATATGTATCTATAGCTATTAATAATCATATTTCTAAAAAATATATTGTTACCCTGATTATTTTATATCCAGTTTATCAAACTTGAAATGAATTGTGTGATGAATTAGAATATGAATAAATGTTGAGATTTTTACCTGGGAGCGATTTAGTCCATAACCACACTCAGCCATATAAATGAGGTGGTTGCTTAGAGCCTCTTCTTCCGCGAAGCTTAAAGCTGTGGGGCTGCCATTGGCCTTGGGGTGCCTTTGGACAAGTTTGTCCCTTAGAGTCGACTCCGGAACACCACACCTTTCTGCAGCACCTCTCACAGACATTTTTTTTTGTTTTGACGACACCAACCTCGAAGCTTCTTCCAGGTTTATCCGGTCGTAATTGTAGTATTTCGAATGTTTCTTTGGATTTTTCTGAAAGGAGAAATACATTTAAATTAATTTAGAAGAGTAACTATCATCTGACACTTTTTGGTATTAATCAAACATCTTTCAAATCCAAAGGTATGAATATTATTGTCCCACCCCCCCCCCCCCCCATCTCCCGCATCCCACTACAAGCCCCAATTCTCCCCCTCCCACGGCACCCCCTTTGTATTAGTCACTGGCCCTGTATAGATCTATTCGTTTTGAGCGTTTCTCTCTCTCCCTCTCTCTCAGCCATACACAAGTTCTCGCTCTTTTCTCTCTTTGTCTCTCCACTTATCCCTTTTTAATTTGTATTCTTACGAAACCCATAGATCATTGAAATTCAGGCACACACATACGGTGGAAGCAGTTTCCGTTTTTTGCGTAAGAAATTGACATTTTATCGTTATTTTTCGAAGTGAATTCCTCTAATAAACTGATTTTCATGTAAAAAACACAATTTGTGATGATAAAAAGCGTTAAAAAACTAGCTTACTCACATTTTTATGACGCATTTTGAACTTCGGGGTTGTCGATGGTGCTCACAGATTTCGGTGTCTCAGTCCCACACAGGCATCGCGTATCGTTCCCCTGTTTAAGCGCTTTTAGTGTTGGTGCGCGAACTTTGGTCACGCGCGAACTTTGGTCACACCACCATACAATAATACGATAATACTCTGTAAAGAGGTCTGTAAAGAGGTCCTTTTGAGGTCTACTCAAAAGGAAGAAGAAGAAGAATGAAGAGCATTTTTAAGTGTGCTACTGCTAGTCTACTGTGAGTTAATAGTCTAGTCATGTGAATATTAATCAATAATAATGTTATTATGAATAATATTAGACCTCTATAAGTGGCAACACAGTCACAGACACTGAGAATGAGAGAGTCAGCCTACACAAATACCTGAATACAGTCACTAGGCCTAACAAATATGACAAAGTCAAAGGCCTTTTAAGCCCAGATCTAATTGTAGAGGCCTAGTATTAGTTCTGTCTAGAGTCAATAAAATCTTACAATCTTACAATCTTACAATCAATTTATTCAAAATTAATGTTATCTTGCACTCACTAACTCAGTTGGATAGATGCACAGCTCAGCTCATCACTATCAGGAATAACTCCATCATCGTCTCATACAAAAATACATCCACACATCATATACAGTGCAGAGCCTATAGCCAGACTCTGCATCTAGGGAAAGGAATTGGATTCCTAACTTCAGTCAAAAATGAGTGCAATACCAATGCGGGGCCAATGCATAGCGGCTGTCTAACTTTTTGATTGCAATGAATTGTATGGTATCCTATAATAAGCACAGGATAATTTTAACACCATTGACAGTGGCCGTGACCTCGGATTATCATTTAAATATGTTCCTTTTTTTTTTCTTTTTTTTTCTTTTCTTCTTGGCAAATGTCGAAAATAAAGATTTCTTGCACCTCAATCAGTGGCGCGGGGGGGGGGGGGGGGGGGCAAATAGAATGGTGAGAGCATATCAAGAGGAGAGATGAAGGAAAAATCAATATTTGGGATCCGGATAGTATAATTTTTGGCAAGAGGCCCCAGCCTTCTCACACAATGTGCCTATGTGTACGAGAGTTGGAAAACAAATCCTCTTTGATAAATTGTAGATTGGGGTGACACCAAACTTGGTGCCATATAAGTGATATAACAAAAAAAAAAGGCCGGGGTTGACAAACGCTGATCTGGACTGCGCTGGTGACCCCCCCCCCCCCCCCCCCACGACTGAGCCCATGCTACACCATTGACTCTGCATTGTTTTTGGTTTTCTTGTGCGGTAATTGTATCTGTATACTGTACTCATTTATTAGTTTTTTTAATTTTTTTTATTTGGTAATCACAGAATGTTTCCAATACATTTAAACAAAAAAAATATAGATAGATATGTCTACATTTTAAAAGCTATAAACTTCTCAGAACTCAGAAAACTCCTCCATACAAAAATTAAAGCTTCATATAGTCGTATTACTTTGTTGTTTAGATTGATCTGTTCAATGTGTTCTGTATATTTTTTCTCTCAATCTTGATTAATTTGTGGAATATGAATATATAAATATAAAAAATAAAGCGAGGACGAACAAAATGAAGTGGAAACGTTCTTTCAAAGACACCTTAACGGAGTTCCCTAATAGCTATTTTTAGAGGTAGGCAATCTTTTGGAACCTGTAGAGGTTTGCGCACGTAACTACGTAAAGGAAATGTTGACGCCCCCTAATGAATATGCATTATGCTTGTGCCGACACGGCGTGTGCTGTCCGTACACGCTGTGCATGTATATCTATCTAGGCTATGACAGCACATCTGCACTACCGATTCAAGCAAGAGAATATTATACAAATAACGCACGTCCCAGAGTGCAATAGCGGTGAATGCAGTACGCGCGAGGTTTCTTTAGATTGGTGCCGCTCTGTGCAACGAGCCGCTTGCGGCGAGTTGACAGTGCGAACCATCTGAAGAAACCGAGCGAACACTGCATTTACGTTTCGCACAACAGGGTCAAGTGCGTTATTTGTTTTATAAAATAGCGACACAAACAGCAACAAACAAAAGTTTAGATCTTTTATAATAGTAATACGAGAGTTCGATCTAGATCTAACTGTTAGAGTTATGTTGGTTCTAGAAATAAAATGAGGGTCTAAGACCTTGCAGGCTTACCAAAAAGTCCACGGGATTCATTGTTTGATTAAAAATAAAATGCATAGGGTGTCTAGAGACGAGTCTACGTACATCAGACAGCTGAAATTCCTGGCTTCATTATAAAATCCAAAAGTAAAAACGGGTCTAAATCCAAGGCAAAAGTAAAACAAAAATTTGCTTTCTAATAATACCCCGCTCTAGCTAGAGCTATTAGCTACGCGTACGCTGCGCTGGGGATCATGGTGGAGCGTACAATATTAGCTACGCGCGTAGCCTATAGCCTACAATGCACTCGAGGGAGCGTACTAGTACTACGCGTACGCGTGCGCACTGGATCTCCATGGTCACGTACGCGCCGTGCAATATAACTTTTTACTGCGCTTTTTCTGCACTCATTTCTGCAAAATCGTGCTTGCATCAAAAATTTGTCAATGCCATGTGACGCGTATTGACCAATCACGATGCTTAAAATACTAGAGCCATTTTATAAATGTATTTCACTACACTTGTATTGTTTTGAATACATTAATTGCATCTATACTTGCATCAATTAAGTTAGTGCATTTCTAAATTTGTATTGTACTGTTGTGACTTCAAGTTGCATCCAGGCGCGTACGCAGGGGGGGGGGGGGGGGGTGTTTGGGGGGTTAAACCCCCCCTTTAGTATTTTTTATATGTGTAAACCCCCCTAAAAAATCCCTAAAACCCCCCCCCCCCCCCCTTTGGTTTTTTTTTTTTTTTTTTTTTTTTTAATTATTAAAAAAAAATAAAAAAAATTACCCCCATGGCTGACCCAAGAAAGGTGACCTTACCCCCCCCCCCCAACGGAGCAAAATGTCAAATTTTAAAATTTCGAGACCCCCCCCCCCCAAAAAAAAAGTGTCCTCTTACCCCCCCCCCCCCCTCCCCCCTCCCCCCTCCCCCCTGCCCCTCCATCCCCCCCCCCCCCCCCCCCCCACTGAGCAAATTTTTGGCCGGCGCGATTTTCAAATTTTCCTGAGTCGTTGCGAAATTTTGGACCCGATTTTAAACCCCCCCCCCCCTTGAAAAAATCCTGCGTACGCCACTGCTTGCATCAATATAAGTTATTGCATCTAACCTGTTCCAAACTGCATTTTGCGTGTCCCAAATTTATATCTTTGTCATGGGTGCATTGTTTGCATCAATCAAGTTATTGCATTGTACATGTTCCAAGCTGCATTCTACGTGTTTCAAAGTTTCTATCTTTAGGGGATAATATTGTTTTGCCTACACACTCCCATCATCCAAATTATTGCATTGTACATGTTCCAAGCTGCATTCTACGTGTTCCAAATTTTCTATCTTTTGGTAATTGTATTGTTTTGACTACACACTCCCATTATTTAAATTATTGCATTGTATATGTTCCAAGCTGTATACGTGTACCAAAATTTCTATCTTTGGGTAATTGTATTGTTTTGCCTACACACTCCCATCATCCAAATTATTGCATTGTACATGTTCCAAGCTGCATTCTACGTGTTCCAAAATTTCTATCTTTGGGTAATTGTATTGTTTTGCCTACACACTTCCATCATTCAAATTATTGCATTGTACATGTTCGAAGCTGCATTCTACGTGTTCCAAAATGTCTATCTTTGGGTAATTGTATTGTTTTGCCTACACACTCCCATCATTCAAATTATTGCATTGTACATGTTCCAAGCTGCATTCTACGTGTTCCAAAATTTCTATCTTTGGGTAATTGTATTGTTTTGCCTACACACTCCCATCATTCAAATTATTGCATTGTACATGTTCCAAGCTGCATTCTACGTATTCCAAAATTTCTATCTTTAGGGGATAATATTGTTTTGCCTACACACTCCCATCATCCAAATTATTGCATTGTACATGTTCCAAGCTGCATTCTACGTGTTCCAAAATTTCTATCTTTGGGTAATTGTATTGTTTTGCCTACACACTCCCATCATTCAAATTATTGCATTGTACATGTTCCAAGCTGCATTCTACGTATTCCAAAATTTCTATCTTTAGGGGATAATATTGTTTTGCCTACACACTCCCATCATCCAAATTATTGCATTGTACATGTTCCAAGCTGCATTCTACGTGTTCCAAAATTTCTATCTTTGGGTAATTGTATTGTTTTGCCTACACACTCCCATCATTCAAATTATTGCATTGTACATGTTCCAAGCAGCATTCTACGTATTCCAAAATTTCTATCTTTAGGGGATAATATTGTTTTGCCTACACACTCCCATCATTCAAATTATTGCATTGTACATGTTCCAAGCTTCATTCTACGTGTTCCAAAATTTCTATCTTTAGGGGATAATATTGTTTTGCCTACACACTCCCATCATTCAAATTATTGCATTGTACATGTTCCAAGCTGCATTCTACGTGTTCCAAAATTTCTATCTTTGGGTAATTGTATTGTTTTGCCTACACACTCCCATCATTCAAATTATTGCATTGTACATGTTCCAAGCTGCATTCTACGTGTTCCAAAATTTCTATCTTTGGGTAATTGTATTGTTTTGCCTACACACTTGCCTCAATCAAATTATTGCATTGTACATGTTCCAAGCTGCATTCTACGTGTTCCAAAATTTCTATCTTTGGGTAATTGTATTGTTTTGCCTACACACTTCCATCATTCAAATTATTGCATTGTACATGTTCGAAGCTGCATTCTACGTGTTCCAAAATGTCTATCTTTAGGGGATAATATTGTTTTGCCTACACACTCCCATCATTCAAATTATTGCATTGTACATGTTCCAAGCTGCATTCTACGTGTTCCAAAACTTCTATCTTTGGGTAATTGTATTGTTTTGCCTACACACTTGCCTCAATCAAATTATTGCATTGTACATGTTCCAAGCTGCATTCTACGTGTACCAAAATTTCTATCTTTGGGTAATTGTATTGTTTTGTCTACATACCACTCAGGCGCGGAGCCAGGATTTTCCAATAGGGGGGGGGGGGGGGGGGGGGGGGGGGGGGGGGGGGGGGGCCGGAAGTTTAAAAATTGCGCAGACCGTTTTTGTCCAACTCAATATACCAATACTGACAAGGTCATAATAGAAGCACCATACCGGTACATCGGGGGGGGGGGCTATAGCCCCTTGCCCGAAAAAGTAATTATCTGGTTTCACAATTCGGCTAGTGAGCGAAGCGAGCGAGCAAAAATTTGAGCATAATATGTATTTTGTGAAAGTATTATTTGTCACCAAAATAAATGAGAAAAGATTTTTAAAAAAATCATATTCGGGCCGCTCGCTGTTCCCCCCCCCCCCATTACTGGCGAAGCGCATAAGCTTTGATGCTTCATTAAATTATGAGAGAAAGAAGATGATTCGTCGTTCCATTCTCGATTCTTAATCCTTGTTTGAATTCAGTTTTCTTTAAATTATTAGAGAAAGAAGACGATTCTTTGTACCATTCTCGTCTCTTAATCCTTGTTGAATTTAGCTTTCCCCCTTCAGCACGAGGCGTGGAAGCTTTTACGTTTTATTAAATTATTAGAGAAAGAAGATGATTCATTTTTCCATTCCTTGACTCTTAATCCTTGTTTGAATTTAGTTTTCATTAAATTATTAGTGAAAGAAGACGATTCGTTGTTTCATTCTCGACTCTCAATTCTCGAACAACGAATCATCTTCTTTCTCTAATAATTTAATAAAACGTCAAAGCTTCCACGCCTCGTGCTGAAGGGGGAAAGCTGAATTCAAACAAGGATTAAGAGACGGGAATGGAACAAAGAATCGTCTTCTTTCTCTAATAATTTAAAGAAAACTGAATTCAAACAAGGATTAAGAATCGAGAATGGAACAACGAATCATCTTCTTTCTCTCATAATGTAATGAAGCGTCAGAAGTTTACACGAGGGCGGGGAAAATTGAATTTAGACAAGGATTGATAGTCGAGAATGGAACAACGAATCATCTTCTATCTCTAATAATTTAATAAAACGTCAAAGCCCCAGTCGTAAAAAAATAGGAAAAAAATAGGGGAAAAATAGGGGAAAAATAGGACTATTTTTTTCCTGTTTTCTTAGAGGAAATAGGAAAAAAATAGTCTGAAAAAAAATATAGGTGAAAAAAATAGGGAAAAAATAGTTTGTACTTGAAAATAGGAAAAAAATAGCCCTATTTTTTTCCTATTTTCTTAAAAGAAATATGGAAAAAATAGTCTGCATTTCCAGAAAATAGGGAAAAAATAGGAAAAAAATAGGGAAAAAATATATTTTCGCAACACACAAAACTACTAGGGAGCTTATGCGCTTCGCCAGTAATGGGAGGGGGGAACAGCGAGCTGCCCGAATATGATTTTTTTAAAATCTTTCCTCATTTATTTTGGTGACAAATAACACTTTCACAAAATACAATTTATGCTCAAATTTTTGCTCGCTCGCTTCGCTCTATAGCCGAATTGTGAAACCAGAAAATTACTTTTTCGTGCAAGGGGCTATAGCCCCCCCCCCCCCGATGTTCCGGTATCGTGCTTCCATTATTGTCAGTATTGGTATATTGAGTTGGAAAAAAACGGTCTGCGCAATTTTTAAATTTCCGGCCCCCCCCCCCCCCCCCCCCTTATTGGAAAATCCTGGATCCGCGCCTGAGTGATGTGTAGACAAAACAATACAATTACCCAAAGATAGAAATTTTGGAACACGTAGAATGCAGCTTAGAACATGTACAATGCAATAATTTGAATGATGGGAGTGTGTAGGCAAAACAATACAATTACCCAAAGATAGAAATTTTGGAACACGTAGAATGCAGCTTGGAACATGTACAATGCAATAATTTGAATGATGGGAGTGTGTAGGCAAAACATTACAATTACCCAAAGATAGAAAATTTGGAACACGTAGAATGCAGCTTGGAACATGTACAATGCAATAATTTGAATGATGGGAGTGTGTAGGCAAAACAATACAATTACCCAAAGATAGAAATTTTGGAACACGTAGAATGCAGCTTAGAATATGTACAATGCAATAATTTGAATGATGGGAGTGTGTAGGCAAAACAATACAATTACCCAAAGATAGAAATTTTGGAACACGTAGAATGCAGCTTGGAACATGTACAATGCAATAATTTGAATGATGGGAGTGTGTATAGGCAAAACAATATTATCCCCTAAAGATAAAAATTTTGGAACACGTAGAATGCAGCTTGGAACATGTACAATGCAATAATTTGAATGATGGGAGTGTGTATAGGCAAAACAATATTATCCCCTAAAGATAGAAATTTTGGAACACGTAGAATGCAGCTTGGAACATGTACAATGCAATAATTTGAATGATGGGAGTGTGTAGGCAAAAACAACACAATTACCAAAAAATATAAATTTTGGTACACGTAGAATGCAGTTTGGAACATATACAATGCAATAACTTAAATAATGGGAGTGTGTAGTCAAAACAATACAATTACCCAAAGATAGAAATTTTGGAACACGTAGAATGCAGCTTGGAACATGTACAATGCAATAATTTGAAAGATGGGAGTGTGTAGGCAAAACAATACAATTACCAAAAGATAGAAATTTTGGAACACGTAGAATGCAGCTTGGAACATGTATACAATGCAATAATTTGAATGATGGGAGTGTGTAGGCAAAACAATACAATTACCCAAAGATAGAAATTTTGAAACACGTAGAATGCAGCTTGGAACATATACAATGCAATAATTTGAATAATTGGAGTGTGTAGGCAAAACAATACAATTACCGAAAGACAGAAATTTTGAAACACGTAGAATGCAGCTTGGTACATGTACAATGCAATAACTTGATTGATGCAAACAACGCGCCCATGACAAAAATATAAATTTGGGACACGCAAAATGCAGTTTGGAACAGGTTAGATGCAACAGCTTATATTGATGCAAGTATGAAGTCACAACAGTACAATACAAATATAGAAATGCACTAACTTAATTGATGCAAGTATAGATGCAATTAATGTATTCAAAACAATACAAGTGTAGTGAAATACATATATTCTCTTGCTTGAATCGGTAGTGCAGATGTGCTGTCATAGCCTAGATAGATATGCATGCACAGCGTGTATGGACAGTACACACGCCGTGTCGGCACAAGCATAATGCATATTCATTAGGGGGCGTCAACATTTCCTTTACGTGACGTGCGCAAACCTCTACAGGTTCCAAAAGATTGCCTACCATTTTTAGAGCATACACAACAAGTAAAACGACTGTACCGACTGTGAGAAATCTCCGAAAAAACACAAAAATTGTGCCTAATAATCATGGAATTGCCAAGCTCGTTTCGTCTTGATAATGGTGATTTAGTTCAGCAGGTATGTTAGCTTCGTCATGAAATAATCAGATTGTTGTTTGTACCATTTACTGCTATGATTTTGGATGTGGATAGATCCTAATTGATTTGTGGGAGAGCTAGAGATTAGACTAGCCGTGGGAAGAGGGATGCAGTGCTGTAGTGAAGGCCTACAGCACTGCATCCGAAGAGGTGTGACTCTTGATGTAAACAGAGCCATGATGTACATGTATGATGTAGATTAGACCGAAAGCTTCAGTCTCTATAATCGTCGGTTGTTCCACTGAGACTACGTCTGGCTCCACTAGACCTCCGGTTATAGAGACTGAACGACTGCCTATGCCAGCCTGTGTTGAACTTATTCCGCTAGATTTTAGCCGCTAGGCCCCTCCCACAAACTTGCCACGGCCGTATTGTTATGCCCCCAAAATCCCCCAAAATGTCATTTTACCTCGTTCATTTCCAATTTTAAATTAGGCCTAGGCTATAATACATCGGTTCCACTTACTAACTTGATTGATATAATCCGTTTAATGGTCCCTTTTAAGGAAATTATCGGTCAAAATCGACATCCATCTTGCAAGCCGTGTTAAACTCTCGCTGCCGTCAATCTCATCTCTTCTAGTCTACGCCGAAGGCAAAATGATTATGAAGGAAAAACTGTGATAACGCCATTACGAACGTGTAGACCAGGCTTGCTTCATTCCGTCGCACGCAAGTTGTGTGTACAGTGTAGAGTCTAGGGAGTGAGAATGAAGAAACCAAGGCATGTGACGGAATAATCAATACCCGATGACGGTGCGAAAGTACACTAGCGTCACGTTACCTAAGACTTTACAATACATGCAATTGATCTTACGGTATGTGCATGTAAAATGCAAAAATGTTTTTCTACATTTATGTTACATGTACATGTATAAGCAAACATCCAACATTTTCAATAATGTTTTCAATCAGTCCAAGAGCCAAGCAGCAAAGAGAGCTAAACAAAATTGGCAACTCAATTATGAGCTTATGATGCCATTCTTTCACTCTTTTCTGTTTTGCATATTTTGATAGATTTTCTGTTTTCTTCCTTAAAAATGACAGTGCATAATTTGCATGTATTCATCCATAAAAATTAATTATTCTCTTTTATACACCTTTTAGTTTATAATTTCATAAATTTTTGTTTTTCGCATAAAATATCTTTAGAAAACGAAGGGGAAAAAATTCCTTTTTAAATACATATAGTCAGGAAATTATATCACAATTTACAAACTCAGAATCAAGATGCCAAATTTTCTCTGTACTACCTTCATGTGATTTAATCTAAAATTTCCCTTACTTTATTATCAGTAGTCTGCTTGAGAATGCTGTCACCATGATACTCTCTTTAGTGTTCACATTTATTTTCCCAAAGTGAAGAAAAGATCTTGGTGTGATGTGATTTTAATCTTGAAAGAGAATTTTGTAATTTGTTAGATGAATTTTTAAGATTCTATGAATATCTTGATTTTTCTCTTTTCCCCTTTTCCCTAGATTGGCTTGCTAGCATGGCTGCATAAAGGAGAAGATGCCAAGTCATTGTACAAAATCATCACTGGCATACGGGTCGGACATGAACTGTGGCATAGACTCAGTGGGCAAGATGAAATTGAAGCATATCGGGTAAGAACAATTGTTCGTTGTCACCAGAAATCAGTTTTCAGATATTGATCAGTTTGTCTTAAAATTAGTATGTTTTGCTTTAATTTGTTAGAGCATCAGCTAGATTCGTATTTAATGTGCCAATTAAATTATAACATCAAGCGTATATATGTTCACTTGTTTCAGTTTGCCACCTGATGTGGCAATAAGTTAATATATATATATATATATATATATACTGGAGCAAAATGAATTGTTTTTATCAAGTATGTTACACTGTGAACTTCAAGTACAATATCAGATTTTGAAACATTGTCCATTCATCTGATATTCTGTTAAATATTTGTGTACATACATACATTTAGGGTGTATACATTGAAAAGAAACTTGAAGAGTGAGAAGTTGGGAACTAATTTTGATGAATTTACTTTCATACATATCACTTTTCATTTGCAAATACAGTACATGTATATTCCTACCATTTTCATTTTTGGCAGGGTGTGGATAAATTAAAAGAGTTTATTAAATTCTAGTGAATCAATAGTGCATATAATCATGTGTCAAAATTAATCTCAATCTTTTAGTAGTCAATGTACAAAAACGACCGACAAGAGTTGATGTCTGAAAATTCTATATGTCCTGTGTTTTTCATTTAAAAATTACAGTTAGATAGCATGTAATTGCAAATTTTGTAGCTCTTTCTAGCACTGTACAAGCTGGCATACTATGTCCCTTGCTAAATGAACATGACTGTACATATACCTGTAGTTCATGACTGATCGAGTGATATAGTGAGAACATACATAAATCAAAAATTTCTTTTCTCTTTTCCTATTCTTCTTTCATACATGTAGGCTGAGACAATTGGTGCAATAGTAGACTACACCAAGAAAAACCCCAAGGCGAGCAAAGAGGACCTAGCAAAAATGGTAGTCATACAGCTCCAGCTATTTGCGAGTAAAGTAGATGCTATGTAATTATTGTTATATGATTCTTTTGTATAAATATGTACATTGTATAAATTCATTTATATTCATTTTAGTTGAGTAGATTTATGTTTTTTAAGTATTATAGTACCTAATGTATGTGTGGGCATTACCATCTCACAATGATTTTTCTATCTCACTTGGTTAAATTTGACTTGCAGAAATATGAAGAAAGTTGTACATTAAAAAAATCAACTTACCGGTACTCGAAATTCAAATGACAGAGTTTGTCCAGGTGTTCAAGGCTCAATTATTGAATTACAGATTTTAAAAATCAATCTTCCTTTTTTTCAATTTTTTGGGACACATCCTTGGAAAATCAGGTTATATTGAGATGGTATACATTTTAATAGATGTACAATATGTTATATGTCATGACCAAAATCATTGTATCTATCCATGTATTATGAAATCTCACAATTTGATTTAATTTGTAGGGTGACACTGATTAATGTTCAAATTAATTAATTTTCATGAATATATGCAAAGGTCAATTCTAAATCAAATTAGTCAATTCTAATTTTGAACATTTTACTTTCATGAAGATCTACAAAGGCAAGGAACTGGCAATGTTAACTATCCATTGAGTTGCTATTTTAAACAGAACAATTGTTAGATGGTAACATTAGATTGCATATTAAAGTGATATGGAAGAGTAGTTCTGTTCACTGTTCGCATGGACATTCCTATCGACTGCCTAACATTTCTTGTTGTGCTATAGTGTTCTGTGATATCCATATAGAGTCAATTTAAAATCAAAAGCATTCAAGTGTATAGTGCAATGTACAGTGGATGAGTCTGTAAAATGTTTTATTTGTTACCTTAAACTACTACTACTTTGTACATTTAGTTTGTGAAAAGGGTTTAAGGTTACTAAATGAGAGGAAATGGCTGTTACAAAAATCATTTACTTGTGAAGCACTCTGCCGCTAAATGCATAACATGATAATCGTAGCTCAGTTGTTGTTGCATTGTTATATCTTGATGTATTTATAAAAATATAAAAGACATATGCATAATTATGTAGAATAAATGGAGAAGCTGGAGTCTGATCTACTATGTAAAATTTACTTCTAACATTGGATACAATGTTTTTTATTTAGATCAACTGAAGTACTGAACTCATGTATTGTTATATTTCTTAATATTAAGGTAAAGCATGCATTTGAACACCTAAAAACAGCAATTAAAAGTATAAGAGTTCTAATCCCAAAATGGTGCTCATCACATCATGCCATTTAGATAAACATGTTGTCAAGAGAAGTCTCTTTGAACTGATAAAGAAGAAATTTCTGGATTTTGTTTAAATAGTGAAACCGAAGCTCAGCTTTGAGTTACAGCATGGAGGGTTTATGTACCAGATCAAACTGTACTATTGTTATAATATATTATCCCACTGCTTGTTTACTTGTACATGTACAACAATTATTTATGTAATTATTAAAACTGTCAGTCTATATGTAATAAATATGGTAAAGTCATTCAAATGTACAAATATGAATGTCTCTTTTTGTGTGTACATTTCCAGAACCCTGCAATTATTTCATCTCGCATGTACAATATTATCAATTGAAACATGATTGAGCTCTATAAAAGCAAGAAATCCACCTCATTGCAAACTTACTGGATAGTTTGGATACTTTAAAGTCGTCCTTGTTTGAAGCGTTTAAATAAATTAAAAACTATATGAAATTCTGTTTCTTTTTACTTTGTGACTAATGAAGATAACGGTAATTAAAATGTTGACTACTAGTATATCTGTAAATAATTCAAAACACAACAATTATGAAAGTGAATCATAGATACAATCACAACACTTTTTTTACTACCACAAGTCGCTACAACATCCCGAGGCTTTTGTCTGAATAAGTTGTGAGATGGCAGGTGTGATACACATTCAGTATTGAAGTCTACTCCATAAATAAATGATATACACAATTGTTATGATTTTAATAGTGGTTAATGGTTTTTTAGTGGTTTTTATTTAGTCAAAAGTAAACCTAAAGTTATTATAAAAATATATTTTTTGGAAAAAAGGGTCCCAAAACTTGGCCTATTGTTTCCTACAAGCTACATGTATAGTTCAACACAAGATATAGCTTTTGACACGCAGTAACTCTCGATCGAAGGTGTCAAAAGATTATGTTAATACATTTTAACATGTACAAGTTCAAACAAGTGGCACGAGTCGTGTATGTACAAAATCTGAGAAGACAAATAACGACATGGTTGTAGAGTTGAAAATTCTCAATTTATTGAACACACTTTGATTCAACATTTCACACTCGAGTCAAAACCTGATTATTGACAAAACAGTATGGTTAAACTGTTCCTTCTCATACAAGCCAAGTTAATGATTTTTTTCCTCCCAAATGCATTGCACTATTCTTCAAATTGGCACTAATTGTATACATTACCAACACAAAAAGTTGGCGAAAAGTGACTCATAAGAATAGCACAAACAGTGTGATAGGGTTATCATTTGCAAATAATAGTTCAAGAGAATCATTTATATTGGGGAAGGGGATTCATCCCCCATGAAAAAAACTAATACAACTGCATGTGAATATTCTAAAATACATTGTGAAAATATTTTTATGCTTCATTCAGTTGTCAGTCTAAATACCTAAAATATTTTTAAACCATCAAAAAAATATGTGATACTTTAAGGCAATCACAAATTGCAGCACTTATCTACATTACATTATGTTTGCTGACATCACATTTCAATGTACTGGTACTGTACAAAACAAAATCAGAATGGTGCACAGTATCAGGCCACATTTTACGTAAATAGTTCCCAATGACAGGAGCAGAATTCTCTAATAAAATTGCTCTTGGCCAATCATATGCAGCGATTTCAGGAGCTTATATCAATTAGTGTAACTATGGTAGCATGTGTCAAATAATAGGGCATGGACATTTTTTAAAACATATACTAGTAATGCATTCTTTCAAAGATTTGTCCAGTATAAACTCACTGTGATATAACTTTTATTGATAATTTAGATTCTATAAAAACTAATCTCTCATTATCAGAACTTGAGGCTTCAAATCATTTCTTATAATACAAATAAAATGTATAAGTCTGCTTTCACATTAAATATAGAATTATAAAGCTAACAACTTTTGACTTTGCAACATGATATGTCTTGCTATAAAAGAAAAGAGTTCTGTGAAGTATCCTAAATTAAGTACAGTGAATCTAAGTATGGCAAACAAAGCATAAATAAAGCTCAACATACATAGATTAGTTTAAACTCATGTATTCATCTATGAAAGCAAAATCAATACTAGGTACAAAACAAAACATCATCACTCATAACTCTGTTAATTTCTTTAAAACTACATGAAGATGTATTAATGTAATTCAACTGACCAGCAATATTAGTTTGTAATTGTACAATGTGTTTAAGGCATGTTTAAAGCAGGCATACAAAATTGTTCAGCTTCATTCAATTATAAATTCAAGTGCTCATGTGACCTCCTATAGATGGAGATTTTAATGCTTCGTACAACCAGTCACATATTCAATAAGCATTATTAATTTATACCTCTGTCACTCACACTGCCAAACAAACTCCAAACAGATGAATTCTTGGCATTTGAGGAATTCTTGTTTGATGAGTTGTCGGTCTGTTCTCGTCGGTGTGACCGAGGTATTACAGTTAAAAGTTGCAGGAAGACAATACATGTAAACTCAAAAAATGGAAATTGAAGAAAGTCAAAGTATTAGATAACCTATTAGACAATTTTTCGCAAATTGATACCCTCATGGATGAAAAAAGTTTGGTATTTATTCACATACCTAATAGTTTTCCCATAAAATCATATTTCTATAGAAACAGAAACCATGTTTAAATGATTATTGCAAGTTTGCAACAAATAATAAAATGATATTACATGTTTCCTGAAGAGAAACGCATGTTCCCAAATAGTACAAACTTCTTTAAAATCTACATCCACTCTTGTTCACTTTGGGGAAAAAGCATAAGCATTACAAAAATATAGTAAATGACATACAGCCAGTATGCAGCTCTGCAGTCGGATAAACAATAGCAAGTTCAAGATGATGATTAGAAAAAAACTGTTATATAATTTCGCTCGACTGATTAATACTTTGTGATTAATATTTACATATCTCAATAGAATATAAAGACCACGCATATATAAGAGCACTCTATGATGTAAATTAACACTTTCACATTAAAGGCATATTTAAATTGCGCAACAGAACTAAGTTACAAGCAGGAGAGGCGAGACTAAACAGCTAGGGATGTGTCATAAATTGATTCATTACACAATTGCTAAGCAGAAAAGGGAAAGTCAATTCATAAGAAAGTCAAATATTGAAATACTGCTTTGGAGCTTTCAATACACCATTGTTTTTCAACAACTTACTTCGAAATATAATTAAATGCTATACAGCAATTTCCCTGTCATACCATGGAGAGCCTAATACCTCCTTGGTCAAAACATATTCTCTCTGTTGCCATTTAAAATCAGTGGTAAATTTTTTGTTGAAAAAAGTCACGACTGGTATTAACAACTAGATCAAACAAAATTACCAACCAATGTTGAGCACAACTATGGCAAATATATATATATACCATTTTTGGCAAGAGTTTTATATATTTACTCAAATGCATACCCATGATCAACTCAAGATCCTCTTGAGTAAGATTAAATATCTTTGGACTCTCTTTAGTAATTGCAGACAGATTTATAAGATTTAATAAACAAATTCACAATGTTATGTGTTTCTTTTAAAGATAAAAACTATATAATTAATTTTACAAGTCCCAGCTTGGAATCTAGCAAAGGTTATGAGTATTTATCTTCCAATACAGGCTATTCAATTTAAATCAAATTTTCAGAATGCAATATTATTTTACAAAAACAAAATCATAATTGCGATATAGATTAAAGCTCAGACTCTGGCTCTAATAATTTCTAAAATGTCTAAAATTCAGGCTTTTAGATGACATAACACATAAAAAATACTACATTTCATTACACATCATATGAGCAAAACATGATTTCCAAGCTCTATACTTGTGAAAAAGCATACATTGAATACACAAGATATTAGGCTTTCACAAGTAACAAAAATACATGTATAACTTAAAATCTACTTATTCATCTAAAAAAATGAATCTTCAATATAGATATTGCACTTTCATATGGTTCACATGGTTCATAATATCATTCAAGCAATAAATCAAAAAACAAGATAATGAAGGCTTTTTAATAAATTCACTATATGGTGCTAAATCACACTATATACTATGGATAAGAAATAAACATACAATGAATAACCTACAACACTGCTTCAATTATCTTTCTTTTTTAATGAAAAGCTAAATTTGAGTTGAAAATAAAACAGAATTTTTGGCATTGGACGAGATGCTTTTTATTTACAGGATTCTAATAAATCACAAAATGTTGCCGATCTGGTCATAAAGTTTGGCCATTTTTCTCTGCCACCATTGGCCATGATTATCTATAAAATTCAATATTTTAAGAGAAATATTTCACCTTGTTTTGTTCCCCTTGATAAATCATCATTATCTAAACACTTTGGTTATTTTTGTGTTAATACAGTCAACCATTTTTCAAACAGGACCATCATGGACAGCATCTGCAAGGCTTTAGAGTTAATGGTGCCTTGGGTATGTTCTTGACATATCCCAGAAACAATTCCCCACTAGCAGAAGGTTGAAGGTTCTGATCAAAAGCTGTCATTTCTCCAACTTCCCAGACATTCCATCGAAATTAGTGTTAATCTATTTTAATTGCAATAGGATGTCATACATTTTAGATTTGAGGCTGGTTCATATACACCTAGGCAAAGCGCCACATTATTTGTGTACTAAATGAATGGCAATGTGGCAATGAAAAACGTAAGTGTGTGCAGCAAACGTTCTATTGGTACTCAAATGTCTGTATACAATACAAAAATATGAAGCGAAGTACGCTTTGAAAACCTATGGTAAACCATCAAGGTTTATAGCGACATATGTAAACACGCCTTTACAAAGGGTTCTCTCCACCAATGGACATAAGTGGTATATCACTTTATATAAAGGGTTAAAGGTCTTGTATAAAAGATCAGTCTATGGGATGCCATTGGTTAATGGTGCTTGAGATGTTTACTGCTAATCTCCCACAACTGACTTGGTTTTATAGATGCACATTTGGTCAATATAATCTCGTTAACCCCTGCTTTGTGTTCCAAACACTGGCTCGTGCCTGCATGATGTAAAAGACCTGTTGCCTGCAGGAAAGAAACAGAGAGAAGCAAAATTTGGTTAGAAAATCTGCTGTAAAACTATAATTTGCTGTTGAGTATTACATCAGCAAAAATAGTCAAAAATGTCAATATTCCATGATTTACACTAAAACTATTTCCAAAAATCCCTTTGAGTTTGTTTATGTTTTTCAAATATTTTAAAATCAATGTCCTAATAATTTTCCTTCACTGATCACAGTCTATGCTTCCTGCCTCATCAAGTCACCTCAATTTGAGGGCTCAAAGCTTCCATACTGAGTTTTTACATCCATTTTTTTATCAAAACAAAATTATTAACCTTTCAAGACAATAGGCAAGTCAAGAAAATATATTCATATGTCATACCTGTTTTTTCATTAGAAGATTCATTTTCATTGCCCCAAAGCTTGTCTCAACCTTTTCTGATATGGCAACACTAAGGTATCCAAGGTGGATTACATAAAAAGAGATACTACCATACATACACATACCACATGAATTATATGGTTTATCAAAACAGTTTCTACGAAGTTATGTACATTAAAAAAAAATATTTGAATTAATAATTAATTGTGATAGTACACTACTACACCATCTTAATCATTTATCAACAAAATTTAAAAATAAGAATTAGGAATTTTTAGCACGGTATGCCTTCGAAAATAAGAAATCGCACTTGATATTTAAATAAAAACAGTCTGGGAATTCCCCTGTAACTGACCTCATCAAAGGACCATCCGCCTCCTGAGCCGCCGCACCTCCTTAACCTGACTTCCTTGTAATGATCATAGGCACACTGGTCATGGATGCGCAGCTGCCCATTCTCTGTCACTCGGAACAGCTGGTTACCTCCCGCCCCGTGACAGTATGACATCCCTACACGCCCGCCATCTTTAGACCCCATGGAGTCTACACAGAGCGACCCCTTTTTTGTTCGAATCTGAAAGTTGGAGTGACATAGAAGAGATAAGGAGGTTCATTCATAAATGTAATTTAAAGCAAGGGAAACAGATGACAAGGCCATAATAAAATGATCAATCACCATGTATTCAAGATAAAATAATTTTAAAATCAATAAAATTATTTATCTAAAATACTATACCAGTAGGCTTAACTACATAATATCAAGTGACATGAACAATAAATCTAACTCCTCTGAGAAGCTTTGTAGCACTAGGAAAGACTCAATTTGAAGAAATCCACCCAGTGTTATCAAGAAAAACAGGTCTTCGCAAAACCTTTCACCTGAACTAACACTGTGTTTTACAATTTAACCTAAAAATATTACACTATATAAAGAATCAAGGGAAACACTTTGCAAACTCAGACTTTGTTGTGGCATCAACATCAAGATTTTGAATTTTTAGCATAATTTCAAAAGTATTTGTTCGAATTCCAAGAAACTTGTACCCAAGGGTTATCAAGTATCACAAATCATATGACACAAATTTCAGGTCACAAAGTCAAGGTCAAAGGTAAATTTAGGTAAGTAGACTTGAATTATGTTTTCACAACTCAGGCGCAACAAAAATGAAAAGGATATGATAAAAAAATGTTTGGTCAACACTCACCTCTCCCCAGTATTTATTAGCATGTGGCAGAGGGTATTTCTCTATGATATCGGGTGCAATCTCTTTCATAAACCAGCCAAAAGACTTGCAATGAAACTTTTCTCTGAATGCAAGCTGCTTCTCTATATTTCCAGTCGAGACAAGAAGAGACTCTGGCTTGCTGCGGTAGAAATACTCTTTGTAGTCGTCGAACCACACCTCCACAACACGCCGTAAATTCTACACAAAATAAAAAGCAGATCAAAGTCTTTAATTTCTGTAGACTAGCTCACAAATGTAGTTATTTCTTGATTTAAAATTGATATACAAATGAACAAAAAAGAGTTATTCAACTCACACTAAAATTACAAAGAAAATCATGATATCCTCAATGATGGTAGGCGTTTCTCAATGCTTTTCCATCTTCAGCCTAACAATACAATCAGTTTTCATCAAGTACAAGTATATACAATTTCTTTATTGCTGGTGTCTGAAATTATAAATAAATCAGCAATGCACTGAAAATGTGTCAAAAAGAATATTTCAGAAAGTTATTTTGTATAAGATCATGGTTCATCAATGAATTATTGCACTGACCTGAAAGAAAAGATTGCGTACGGATTCTAATATTTGGAGATACAAGTCCAGCTCGGTCAAATCATAACATTACATAAAAAGAGAAATATTCAATAAATTTATTCTTTCGGTTAAAATTCTCTCACCCTTTCACTGAGAATAAGCATGCTTCCATTCGGAGCTGAATAGGGGACTTTCCCTAGTATTCTGTAAACATGACCAACTCTGGAACACGGCACCCATAGCAATGAGCCTCCACACATCCAAATCTATCAAACAAACCAAGAAAATGGATTAATACATGAACAGTTATTACAGAGATTTAGCAACCCGACACATTATTGGATTGGGTTCTTAAACTATCCATATTAGTAATGAAATAATACACTGATCAGAGTACATTGCATGCAACAGCTTGGGAATGGTCTGTAGCATACAACAGGTTTAAAGCCGAGTGTGTTTGGGCTGTTCTGAAATACCCAAGAGGTGGTAGACCTTTTTCTGCATGGACTAAAAGATGTATTCAAGAAATGAATACATGTGAATACTGAATTAAGCCCTCTTTCTGTAATCAAACAGCACATTCAATTCATATGATTGATTTATTAAGAAAGATACAATATAAGTTTATCTTTACAGAGTACTGTTTTGAGATTACCATCAGTAAGTTAGATTAATCTTTACTATTTCATTGTCTTCAATAAACAGGGTAAATGTAACAGCGTTCAAAAGACTCACTTTAAAAGAAAGTTCAAAGTTTTCTCCACCCCAGATTTCAAGTCCTTCATCATAAGCACCTAGTTCAAAGAAATATTTTCTGTCCATGGCAAAGAGCCCCCCTGCCATTGCTGGTGACCTGTTCAAAACAAAAAAGATGGATAGCGTTATATGATCCATAGATATTCAATTCACATTTATTTCATTCTCGATTAAAAATTACATTGATACAAAACATACAAAATAATTCAAAAACAAATTTAGAAAATGAAATGGGGAACTACAAAAATAAAAACCCTTACGTCTTGTACAAGCGTAGTTCCCAAAGCATTGAAAATAGAAAAAGATAAAAAGGTATTTAAAAAGTTACAAAATAAAAGTAGACTCATAATCACAAAGACCAATACCATCAATCATTGTACTGTAGTACCAGAATCTTTTGCATTCATGCAAATTTTGAAAGTTTGGCAAGTGGTTCATATTCATTAACACTTTCATGCTGAATGAGTGATTTACAACACAGTTCCCTGAATTTGGCAAAGGTTTCACATAGGTTTCTGTTGTTTGAGTAGAGCAATTCACAAGTTTTATACATTCTCAAATGACCCCTGGGGGTGTTCACAAAGATCCTAAGTTGAACCTATCTCTAAGTTGGAATTAACAATTATGGAAAGCCATTAGCATCTTTGAAAATATTTTGTAAAAGTTATTTTAAAAGGCATAAAATGTTGATTCAAATCATTCATATTTTCTATTATCATGGGAGATTTCATGTTCTTGACGTGGAATTTATGAAAACTCTAAAATACTTCAATTTTCGCTTTTGAATGTATTTTATTTTAAGGCTACAAATGGCTCTTGATACATAAAACTGACGACCCACCCACTTTAAGGTATGCAACGCGGCTCATACGCAACTAACATTTTATGTCTGACAGGAGCTCTTACCCAGTTTTCAACAATGTTAATTTCTCAAAAGACATGAATGTGCTCACCGTTAGTCTGCGACTAAAAACAGGTCTATTTCTTCTCATTATGCATTTCCTACATGGCCTACCTATATGGTTCTGAGGCATGCTGTCTCCTGCTCTTCTCAAACTGGGGCACAGGAAGGTGCTTCCAGTAGAGACTCCAGTCAAAGCCACCCCTATCCTGATCTCCAGTACCCTGAGGGTACACCCTATAATCCATATTGTCTATCACATCAATGATGGGACATACTGCAGTGGTCCTGAAAAAGGATAATAGAGAAAGGTAAAAGAGAAAGACATGTAGACGTGTAGAACCATGTAATCTTGTCATTTATTATTTATGTCAGGGGACTATTACTTACAAGATTTTCAAACTTCCTTTTTAGTCTCCAATTTCTTAATTCCTGAATTGTAAGATTATGATTGTTTCATTTTTACTTTTGTACATATATTATTTTATGGTTTTATGATTGAAATAAATGAAATTGAATTAAATTGAATTACTCAAATCAACCAAGTTTGAGGACAGTGAATAGAAATGTGATGAAGCATATGGGTATATAAGGACCCATTCTGGTATCCATGTAGTCAATCACATCGAATAATATACTGCAGTCATCTTGGTATAGAAATGTAGATTTATGATGATTGATTGAATTGGAAAACAAAGATTTACGAAGGTACATGGTCTGTGCAAGCCCGCTGGTGATAGATAGATACTTCTTGCCATGGCGGATGCAAGGGTTTGTTTGAGAAGATGCAGTTGTTATATCATTATTCCAGTTTGTTCGGCGCTGTTTCTAGTATATGGTAAAACTAGATGGAATTTTGACTGCGCGCAGTCGAAAATGATGCCTCCGCCATAGAGCAATTTAAACAAGTTTGGAGTTTAAATCTCCAGTGGTTCTTGAGATATCATGATAACAATCTCAATGTATGGAATTTCATAAGTTGACCTCTGTGACCCTTGACCTTTGACCTACGTGCTCCAAAATCTAATCAGATTGTCTTCCTATGGTGATACACACTATCATTAAGTTTGAAGTTTAAATCTCCAGTGGTTCTTGAGATATTATGATATGGTGATACATACGATCATTAAGTTTGAAGTGAAAATTCTCCAGTGGTTCTTGAGATATCGCGATAACGATCTCAATGTATGGAATTTCATAAGTTGACCTCTGTGACCCTTGACCTTTGACCTACGTGCTCCAAAATCTAATCAGATTGTCTTCCTATGATGATACACACTATCATTAAGTTTGAAGTTTAAATCACCAGTGGTTCTTGAGATATTATGATAACAATCTCAATGTATGGAATTTCATAAGTTGACCTCTGTGACCCTTGACCTTTGACCTACGTGCTCCAAAATCTAATCAGATCGTCTTCCTATGGTGATACATACTATCCTTAAGTTTGAAGTTTTTACATCTCCAGTGGTTCTTGAGATATCATGATAACAATCTCAATGTATGGAATTTCATAAGTTGACCTCTATGACCCTTGACCTTTGACCTACGTGCTCCAAAATGTAATCAGATTGTTTCCCTATAGTGATACACACTATCACTAAGTTTGAAGTTTAAATCTCCAGTGGTTCTTGAGATATCATGATAACAATCTCAATGTATGGAATTTCATAAGTTGACCTCTGTGACCCTTGACCTTTGACATACGTGCTCCAAAATCTAATCAGATCGTCTTCCTATGGTGATACATACCATCCTTAAGTTTGAAGTTTAAATCTCAAATGGTTCTTGAGATATCGCGCTAACAAACTCAATACAAGGAATTTCATAAGTTGACCTCTGTGACCTGTGACCTTTGACCTACGTACTCCAAAATCTAATCAGATCGTCTTCCTATGGTGATAAATACTATTCCCGAGTCTTAAGTTTAAATCTTAAATGGTTCTTGAGATATTGTGATAACGGTCAAACGGGACGGACGTACGGACGGACAACCCGAAAACATGATGCCTCCGGCACCACCTTCGGTGGCGGAGGCATAAAAACATATTCATCACTGACCAGGTCTTCATCTTATATCAAAACTAGTAACAGGCAACTGCTCAATTCTGCATCACATCAGTCCTGTAGAATTTCTATTCAGAACAATGGGGAGAGCCCTAAGCCCCTCAAAAGACCACATACATTCTTAACCTTTCCTACAATATCACAATCTTTGGTCTCTTACTGAAACAAGTCATTTGTGTCAGCAGGCTAGACTCCCATACCACCACTTGAAGGGGAAAGCAGGGGAAAGTCCCCTCATTGTTGATGATTTTAATTCGGCAGATGTAATCCAACACCTTCAGGGTTTTATGCTGATAATAAGATACACGGCATACCTATTAACAGCAATGGGAGTAAGTAGCGGCGGCAGCCAGTTGACGCCAACCTCACAGTGAGCATCGAGCCACAGCAGCACATCTCCTGTAGAGTGGCGTGCTCCTATGATCCTGGTCCTGATCAGACCCTCTCTCCTTGAATTTCTCACCAGCTTCAGTTTACCATTAAACCTGGCTTCTTGGACGTAGTCCTCGAGACGCTCTTTCAAGTGTTCTAAAGAAAAACAACAACAAAAGTGAAGGAAGAAATTGTTTTAAATCATAAGTAGTAGCAGTAGTATGAGTATTTAGTATATGGTACTTGGTACTATTGGGTAAGGGGTCGTGAGTATTGGGTAATGGGTAATAGCATTGGCACAGGTACTGGCAGTTAGCATTTTATATTTATATCATTAGCATTAGTACTAGTAATACTATCATTACTGGCAGGTCTGCGATAGGCCTTGCGAGTGGGTGGCACTCAAAATCAAAATGGCCGCCACGCCTACCTTTCTACAACGGCCACTATTTGTGTGTCCCTTGGGCGGTTGCTATAGACAGGTTTGACTACTATTGGGTAATGGTTATTGGGTAATGGGCATTAAGTAATTGGTATTGGGTAATGGGAAAATGGGTATTGGGTAATGGGTATAAGGTAATGGGTATAGGGTAATGAGTATCGGTATAATGTAATGTATATTGGTAATGGGTATTGGGTATTGGTATTGGTATTGTTGTTGGCATTGAACATTTAGCAATGAGCATTAGCATTGAGCATTAGCATTGGTATCATTATTATCATTACAATTAGTGGTCACATATATATTTTTAGGGAAAGATACAACACATTTAACTTTCTTTAGATCATGAGCTTTCATTTGAAATGCGATGTCTATTTCAATCAATGTCTACTTTAAGTCCATGAAAATATCAAGTCCCAATTTGTCTTCATAGACTGATTTGTGTTAATCCTCAGTATTAATCTTTTTTTTTTTAAAGCTGAATAATTGCCCAAATCAAATTCTCAGAACAGTTACAAAGAGAATGCATTGAGACCGCAATGTGTAATTGATCACTGTTGAAGCAGGCGCCACACAATATTTACTGGCACGTGCCCTTCCTTTCTTCTCTCTCCATCTCTCTCTCTCTCTTGTATCTGCCTCTCACTCGTACCCATATTGGGGGAAAAATTAACGAAAACAAACTTAGCACAACTACCAAAATATGTCAAAGATCAAAATAGAGGAAAAAGATAAAACTTGAAAAAACACAGAATTGTAAATCATGCTGGGAACACTTCATACTTGCAAACAGACACTTGTTGTGTCGTCAATTTGCTATTTATTTGGATCGGAGATTCGGAGAAGATTACCACGGCACACACTGAATAACTTGTACAAACAAGTTTTTGACAGGGAGAAAGATAGATAGGATTTCATGTACTAAAACGCTCAGAAGTTCATCTGTACTTCTGGGTATGAGTGCCACGTCATGGTGACTAGCGAACAACTGAAATTCATTATTTCAACAGTTACCTCACAGTTACAACAGTTACACAAATAAGAGGGAGATGGGGGCGATCTATTTTGCTTTATGTGTAGTGTCCTACATAAAAGTAGGTAGGGTCGATATTTGCACTGCCATGATTTTTAAAAGAAAACACGGCTTTACACTGGTGCTACGGCTTGGAAAGCTGTCGGAAAGCAACGCAAGGTTGACTGTATATTTGATAAACAGAAGAAAATTAAGGAAACGTATAATTATGAATTGGTATCCTAGATCTATTTTGCAGCTCGTCAAATGTGCATGTCTTACTCTTAACATGGGAGGTTATTCAAAATCACTGTCTCACACAATATTGGGTCCACCTGTTTCCTGATTTGCTGAAAATATCTGATAATCAATAAAACAAAACCAATATAAAAAATCTGGATGTGTTTACACAGCAGTCACTCCCAAACCTACCTTTTGTGCTGAAATCATCAACCAGGATTATTTCATGTAACAGCTGGGACGGTGATCGATTGAACACGCTGTGGACTGTGCGGAGAAGTGTTGACCAACCCTCATTGTGAAATACTATTATTACACTGGTAGTGGGTAATGTCTCCGGATAATGCCAGTGCTTGCATCTGAATAGAAAGAAAATTAGAAATGCATACATATTTTAAAACATGACCGTTTACCTTATTTTAATAAATATTCAAGAAACATTTTTTATTTCTTGTAGTTTCATGGATATTTTACCTTTACATTACCTTGACAATAATTGAATAGTTAACATATGAGCGCAATTTTTCCATTATGTTCGTATATATATATAATATTCAAATCATTGGAGTGAAATCTGCTTTTACTCAAGATGCAGAAGTTTTGATTGAATCCATCAAATGAACTTCACTTGATTTATTCATTCTCATATACATGTTGTACATGTTTATACATATTATACCACTTCTATAAATGAAGTAAAATCTACTGAAATCAAAATACGATAATTCTTTCAAGTGTTGTCTACTTAAAGGTACAAAGTCAATGATACAATTTAAAAAAAGGCAATTTCCTGACCAAATTTAATTGGTAAACTGGTCAAACCTTTTTTACAAGTGTAAAATGTTCTGGTAGAAAAATTAAATCATGATGATATCCTATTTCAAGGGAAATCAGGGTAGGCACATAATAGCACTACATACTATGTACATATTAGAAACAGCTGGATCATCATAACTCAATTCTATACACTTGCACAACACACTCACAAACTCATACACAAAGATCGTTTAAACACTCTTTCATTTTAAGTTTTACCTTAAGATTTTTGTTTTTGTTTTTTGAGGCCGCCATCCTTGTCAAGCTTTGCTTATGATTGTGGTCTCCTGCACTTTTCCAACATTATAGTTTGGATAATAGTTTAAATTTATGATTAATATGTTATGGAAATATTAAGTTTCGATATTATGTACATATATTGCGTAAAAAAACATTTTCACATGAAGAAATTATTGTTTGTATATGTTGTATTATACCTTACATTCATATGTTCTTTGTTATTCAGTTATATTATATTTGAAAAAATGCAGAAATAAAATAAAACTAGATTTGTAATACTTGTTTGGAACAAGTATAGGTGGGCTGATCCAACAAAAAATTGAGACAAAATAAAGGGTACATTTGAGATAGCTTTTTGTCTCATCTACAACCTACTCGAAGTTCAGCGTAAACGAAGCTAAAACGACGTAGATATTGCTCGCGAAAGACGGGAATGTTGAATCGAGTTTTGAGAAAAAGTCATGTCCCATAGAGAATACATGCAAAATGTAAAAAATTGACATGCCTCCTTTAATCGCAAAAATACGCCATGATGCCTTTGTCAAAATGAAGAATAATAGTAACTACATTTGTAGAAAATTGTCTCAGCTAAAACATGTCAAAATTTGGAAGAAAATCGATCAATATTTACAGAGATACAATCAATTTTCCATAAATATGCTGACGTCATAATATGCAAATTGGAATTTTGAGTTCGGAGGCCATTATGATGACGTCATGAGTTAATTGAGGGTCAAATGAGACATGAAACAATATCTCCGAATCATACTCTATTAAAATATGAAAAAAAATTGGGGTCACCTTGCATCCTAAAGAGCTACAATGTATTTTGTATAGGCATGTTTTTGCCCATATATGCTATGTATTACAAGAGCTCGCGCGCACGGAAATTTTTGTTAAACGGTCGATCAATCCGTTATTAATAGTCATAAAGAGACAAACGTGGTATCAAATTGTTTGTAAATATATGTGGAATATTATGAAAGAAAAAAAAAGGCAATTCTATGTTGTGCAATAGTTTTACGCGCGAAAATGCGCGCGCATGCGCGATTTTTTATGAAATGCTTAGAATGGCCTAAAACGTATGCAAAATGATTTTGAGACGATTTTGAGCATTTCAAAATTTTGCGTACGCATTGACGCGCGGACGTACGCGCACGCGCGCGTTATTTGACCTGAAATTGACCGGATGGATATTGACCTTGATCATGGTAAATATGAATGAGAAATAGCTTTTGGTTATGAAGATATGATCATGAGTTGATTTTCGGAAAATTTTACAAAATGGCGCCTAGATGACGACATCAGTGAAGGTCAATGTTGAAAACGTTATTGTGCTTTGTACATATGCCTATACATATGTGTGCGAAATTTCAAGGCATTTGATTGAGCCATTTTCAAGTTATCTTGCCAACAAAAAAGTGGTTAGAAATAAGAAAAATATATAATAATAAATAAAGGCAATTCTAACGAAATTATAAGGTGGTCTGTATTAGATACAGCCCACCTGATAAAATTAGAAAAAGTACAATCTTATATATATATATATATATATATATATATATAATACATATCCCCAAGTTTGCTCCACACATATCTCAAGGTTACACTATGAAGCTTTGATTAATAAAATGTTAAAATGTCACATCATTTCATCTCTGTACAATATTTTTTACATGGTTACAGCAATACACCTGCTAAGAACTTTTCAGTGAGAAGTCACGGAATAGGTTTAGGTATTTGTATGACTTGTGAATAAAAAGTGGCAGTAAACATACACTAATCGCCTACCATCTGCATTTTAGTATTGACTGGCTAGGCAATTGCCGTATGTGTCACACATCTATAAATAATCAATGCACATCAGAGCAAAATAAAGCAAGATTGTCTTTAATTACGATAGTGCCAGTCGATAATCTACACTTAGTCTACAAATTAAATATCAAGATGGACGATGCCACAAGCCCATTAAGATTTTTGCTAAGTGGCATTTTTTCCTACATTGCATTAAGAACAACATCTCTGCATCGATACCCAACTATGTTTTGCACATATTCGTCTTCTCTTAACTTTAAAGTCCCCCCCCCCAGCCATCATTTTTGTTTTCCCTCTTATATCTGACTTCCTGTTAAACACTTCTGAAGCCCCATCCTCCTCCTCCTCACTGGTTCTAGCATCCTTGATCATTTATACTCCTGCTACTGAACACACAAGGATGCCTGCCGTTACCATGGATACAGGATGGCGCTGAATTTCCCTGCGGTAAATTGGTGTCTTATCTTTCACTTCTAGCTGTATTTCACACTCAAAAGTGTGATAAGACAAGAGAACCATTACTAGACTGGAGGCAGTCTGGCTATGTTGATTTCGAACAACACCAACTAATATCCCGTCTTGATTACAGGCTTTTAGCAACCCGATTCCTTTGCAATTTCACCATCGCATAAATTAAGTGTCAGCTTGATACTTTTGATATGCTCTGTTTTCAATTTTCGAGCATCAATTAATCAATACTTTCAAATTCTCAACACTTTAAGTTCTTTTATTTATAAACCCACACACAAATTCTGCTCCATTGGAAGAAAGATATCTAAAGCTAATGATGGCTATATATACCCCAACATATTAAACAAAAGTTGTTGTTTCTTGCATCAAGTTTTCAGACTGATTTCCAATCAACCCCCTGGCACATATCCTACATTTATCCCCCCCCCCCCCATCCCCTCTCCCCTCTAGAACTTGATCTATCCTGGCCTACTTCTCTTCTAATTCAAACACCATGAATCCCTTTCTACCATTATGACTGGCATACACTCTTGACATTCAGATTCATCCACTCCTAAGATTTCAAAATGAAGCCACAAACCAAAATATTTACCACCAGGATAACGCCTAACAGACGGTTTATACTTTCACCTCCCCCATAACAGACGGCCAAAGCCAAACAATGGATTGTGCCTTATTTTCCAAATTGAGGGATTGCTATTTGAGTTTGAAGCCTAATTCTAAGGTTGACATAGCCCTCCCGAATTGCAATGCCTCATCCTTTCTATGAATGTTACCTTTCAAAGTGATTAAGACAGTAGTTATAAATGTTCTAGCCATTCTTATTTATAACCTGAGGCAATCACCCCGCTTTTTACTCAAATTGAAGAAAGAAATTGAGCTGTCCTTTTTGTGGTAATTTGTGCCCACTTCATTAATATCTAAAAAAAAATCCCTCAGAAACCAGTGCATTGCAACTGATTGATATTTGCTTTTCATCAAGATAATTATTTTTTTTTGTCTCCTGTACATGAGTAAAATACACATGGATAATCATTACACAACTTAATTAAATAACGCAATTTATGTCTGAGGCAAGCTTGCTAAAGTATGATTTAATGTACACAACTTTTAAAATCAATCCATAAATATGAATCGTGCGTATTATTCTAATTTTCTAATAATCAAGATAATGAGGTGTATGAAATTGATGCTACACTTATCCTTAAACCATGTATGTATGATAATCTAATACTTAACAATTCACTAATTATCTGAATTCACATGTGCCACATGTATGATAATCTAATACTTAACAATTCACTAATTATCTGAATTCACATGTGCCACATATACATTTTTTCTATTTAAAAAATAAATTGAACTATATAACTTACTGTTGGCTTCTGAGGTCTGCAATGTTTCTATCCAATGAGATCTGATCGCTGACATACTGGTTGAAACCATACTCCTGGATGAGCCTATCCACCTTTGCCTTCTCTGATGGTTGAGTTCTGACTGCTGCCCCGCCCTCACCCGGTCCTTCCCTCGCTGGTAAGTTGACAGGCTCGTAATCACCTAAAAACCAACAGAATCATATCTATAGTAATGAGAGATGTTGAAATTATTTGATGCATCCCTCAGGGTTTAGTAGCATTTCATGAGAACAAAATTCTCACATGTTCCCTTGCTTTTCTGAATTTCTCTGACTGAGTTTTAGAAATTCCAGGATCACTATTTCGAACTGCAACTGAAAAGTCTTTTAGTGAACAGAAGGTTAATACATGCAGTGGATATCCTGTTTGGACATAGGACGACATATGATAGGTGACTGACTACTCTCTTTGGGAGGGGCCAATGAAATTTCCCCATATTTCCTAATTTTAATGACTTTTTCTTGAGTCTGTGACTTTTTCCTGACTGGAAAAGGGGACCACAACTTCCAATATTCCCTGATTTGCAGGATGGCTTGAAAACCTGATCTCTCTTTTAAAGATTGGGTTGTGAGTGACTGGGACATCCTCTTCAGTTTCAGCTGGTCCTTCTCTCATCAGCAAGCTGGCATATCTCATAATTACATACATATATACATATACACAAGATCAAATATCACTTAAATGATATACCATCATACCAATTATTTCTATTAAGACCACCTAAGGAAGGCATGCCCCATCAAGACCTTCCTAGACAGGTGGCCCTTTTCCTGAATAGATCCAGTGAACTAAAATGGAATATTGATATCATGTTCATTTTATATGAATACTTTATATCGCATGGATCATATGGTTGAATCCACCGATTTATTAGAATTGATAGCAGTGATGTATCTACATGTATTAATGATTCCTCTGTATTAAGATGTAAACGGCACATTTTTGGGTGATCTTCAAAATATAATTTTAATGAAATTAACGGTTTTGTCCTAAATATCATTAGTGACCAAGTGCTTATATATGTTGTAAATAAAATCCATGTGTTGGAAGATATATAAAACAAAAAGAAGAATCCTTGCTAGTTTCATGCTTTATAATTTCCCACTGTTCATTAAAAAATTTGTGAACTTAATTCTGTCCATAAATCGGACATTAAAGCTGTCAAGCATAATTACATGCTTAATGGTTCAAATGATTTTATGAGAAAAATTAAGTTCACAATGTTTCTGCTTTCTTAATCCTTATTCAAGTGAAGAAGAAGTATATTTAAGGATTCTTCTTTTTACATATTTTTAACACGTGAAACTAATTTACATCAAGAGAGAGAGAGAGAGAGATGAAGATATATTTTGCAACTTGACAACTTTCATCATTCCTTCTAAATTATCACCAATTCATATTCTTAAAGGTATTACAAAGTTTTGGTATGGGGTCATGAATTTGGTTCAAATTAACATATTGGAAGCATATGCGTTCCTACAATATTCATTGATCGTTGTCCCGGTTGAAATCGAGTCTAAAGTTATAAAATTATAAATAATAAACTCTTTATGTTGTATAGCTCCCTCTCAAGGTCAAGATATTAATTTAGCTATGAAACAATGTTTCTTGACTAAAATCGACCGATTAGCTATTCCCGTTTGGAAATTATATATCACAACTACATATTTTGAGATTTTCACGGTCGCAGCTACCATTGTACAGCCGTAGGCGCTATTTGAAATTATCAAAATTTACCGGGAGCACCGGTAAATTTTTATATTCAATTTTTCTCGAAAACAGAAGTGTTTTGGGGGTTAAGTTTTTTAGAGCTTATAATCCACAGGGGCATCCAAATATATCAAAATTGTAAAGATTCATTATCCACCCAATTTTCAAAATTTCCCAAAACTTTGTATTACCTTTAAACAAATGTATGGAAAAAATAATGTGAAAATACATAATTCGTGAATTGTGAATGATATATCAAATATCTCATTGCAAGTATTCAGAACAAAAGAATACAGTTCTGCTTCAATTTTACAAAAGAGGGTCAAGCGAAATCTAGAAATCAATAATGGTTTCAGATGCAGATCTTTGGATATCAGATGGTTGACCTTTTGGATACAGTGCAAAATTGGAAATTGATAAATAAATTAAGAAACATTCCCAGCTTTTCAAGGACTGTAACTAAATTAATAATATTTTTCATTAGTCTACTTGTGAAGCATATACACTAAATGAGCAGCATACACCATATTAAAGCAATTATGAAGAGAAAATAAAATGTTCATAAAATTGCCTTCAAGCAGTCTTAATTAGAGTCTGTATTGTATTCCCCAGGCCATAGTGCACGTAGCCTTGTGCAGTATATGAATCATAATAGATCTTTTTGTCAAGAAAGTGAGGGAGAGGGTGGGGGGGGGGGGGCGAGAGGGAGAGAGTTTGGGGGGGGGGCGAGAGGGAGAGAGTTGGGGGTGAGAGCAAGAGAGAGCGAGAGAGATAGACCTATAAGAGTGATCTATAGATGAGAGAGAATACGAGAGAACGGAGCAAGCTACACGTAAAAATACACACAAATGAAACATCACCAGACAATGTCGCCATTGATAGAAGAGAGATATGAATTGAAAATAGTGATTCATCTTTATAGAGAGGGAGAGGTCACTGCACAAAGGAAAATGTGCGAGTTTGAAGACAAAGCATAGTCAGATAGAGGTAGACATAGATAATTAAACAAAGACAGAGTGGGACACGAGGAGATAGAGAAGAGATAGATGGGTGGAGAGAGAGAGAGAGACTGATAGAGAAAGAGAAGGAGAGGGATAGGAAAATAAAGAGCAAGGGAGAGAGAATGGGGAACGAATGAAAGATAGCAAACAAAGGAGAACGCCATCAATACAAGATATAAAGTGGAAAAGTAGACTTACCACGTACACCATCTCTGAACACTGCCCCTACAACAGCAGGTGTGTCCATAGGTCTGTGCAATACAACATGATCCTCATCATATTCACCATGAGGAGGGTTCCCTGGTATATGGCCCTGAAAGATAAAAAGATAGATGGAACATTTGTTAAATGCTTGAATGAATTTGAAGGTCTGAGGAGGTATATGTGGAAATGATGAGCTTAAAAGATTTGGGAATGAAATAATCGATAAATGGTCTGTCGGTCAGTCCGAAAGGCAGTAGATGAATGAATGATTCAATTAACTGACTGATATAGTTGACTTATTGAATAATTGATGAACCATTGAATAATTGAAGATTAAATTTCAAGTGATCGGATATTTGGTTGATTTATGAGTCATCTTTTACATGGTTGGATGATTGAATGCCAGATATTAAATTGATTAAAACATTGTAAAAATAATTTAAACTATGACAGATCTGATAATCTGAATTTCACAATTGATGCATGGATGGAATCATTAATATGTAAATGAAATTATTGATTGAATGATTAGCTACTAAACTGACAGACAAAGTCAAAAATCAACTACTTCGGTGGTTGAAATTTCTGTAGTGATCACAAAACCACTAACTTCCAAACATATAAATTGTGGTCATGACTAATACTCAGATTTCACTGTATGTTTGTACAGCATGGAGTAGGCAATTATCAAAATCAACAAGTGAGCAAAGAGGCACTGCAGTAATATAATGCAAGGTAAACACTCAAAAAATGTATTTTGCTTTTCAACATAAGCTCTCTTGAAAAGTACATTTGTCACTAAATGGAAAAGCCATTGCATGTACATTTGTAGGTGTGCATTTTATATTTTGAAAATTGAAATATATGCATGACTAATTCGAACTGAATTTCACTGCTGAGCCCAAGCAGTTAAGAATCAAAATACAATTTTGGTTACAAGTCCTTGAAATACAGTACATACCGGTACATGTAGCAGAAGACTGCCAATGATATGGAAGTAAAATGAAACTTACAACCTCAGGGTACAATTTACAATAATGAATTTAAAACCCGACTGGTGATAAAAAACAATTAAAGGCAGACACACAAAATGGGGTCACATCAATAAAACCACAGTATAATCCATATTTTGGCAAATGATAGATTGTGGAAGAAGGATCAATGTTAAAAGTAACCACACTGTTGGCTAAAGTCATTTGATAGTGCCGTGACCCAAATCTGTCTGTTTTAAAGCACGATTGGCTGCTATCTGTTTTGGGAAACTGACTGGACGTTTACCATCAACAGGTAGAGACAATCAAGATAATAACAAAAATTTAAAAATACAGAAAAATATGTGATTTCAGCATTTTAGCTGCAATTTTCATATTCCATCGCTCATCTCATACTTCTAACAATATTTTCTGTCATTAGATAAAACAATTTGTATTTTAATTTTGCAGCCCCCTTGTTCAAGGTGCATGTTTGACGACCATCCCCATGACATAACACATAATCAGATAATGACCTCTCTTTTTACTTATTTTCACATTAATACCTTTCCCTTTTATTTTGTTAAAATAATAGTACCAGTAAAAAAGAAAAAACATTGCAAGTGGTCTTTCCAGATGCACCAAAGTCTTAATATTGCTTTGAAACATGAGTTGTGTAATACAAATAGTACAATATGTCTGCAGACACTGAATGCAGCTGTCTCTGCTACACTGGCTTCAAGTGTTAGCCTTGCCCCAGAGGCCCAAACTGCTTCACTTTTAATACACGTACCAGTATGCATTATGTAGGTAAAGTGCCATTTGATCAGGTGCCTAATAACCATTGAACAACTCATCATGCAACAAGTGTTTATGCACGCCAGAGGCGAACGGAAGTGGATGACATCCGTTGAGAATATTTATGCTTAGGGATTGCAATCTTCTGATTAAAACCTGCTCACAGAGACACCAAAATAACGTCTGCTGAGAGCTATATGGGCATTAAAGGTACTATATCCCTTTTGCAGCCAACCTCAAATGCTGTAGAACTTTGCAGGAATTATGAATATGTCATGCATGTCCTATTTGTGAAATTTAAACGTTAGCAGTGTCCTCATATTCAAATTATGCAAGGAAACCTGTTTACTTGCTAGACTTTACTGTCAGACACTATTGAGTGACTGACTGGCTTTTTTCTTCTTTGGTAATAACATACATGAAAAGAGTTGTAAAGGGTACATGAGCATTTGTCTACATCAATAACCCACTTCTTGTGATGACTAAGATTAAACTGATTGAATCTTTGCGCAGCATAAAACGTATGACCATTCGGTACAATTGTCTGAAAATCAAGACTATTACTTTGGGGCTCTATAGCCCTAAAGTCGATTTGACAACTAATAGTCATTATTTTCCCACTTGAAGACATTTTTAAGCCCCACCTTTTTTAGGGAAGTTCTAAATTAGTATTATCTTTCAAATGCAGTTGGAATTTAACTGTTTCATTTTTTTGGCCTGCAAAAGGGACATAGTACCTTTAACTCTGTGTAAAGTGATATTGTTTAATGTCCTTTTGGCTCTGATGAACTGTCACTTTCTTCTTTTTCATCTAGTCCAATACTTCAGGACAATTTGTATCTATTTGATTGTATTTCATTCTTAGGAATTACATGTACATGTAGGCCTATTTCCTATGTTATTCAAAAGCAAATGAATGGACTTTTAAATTATTTCATTATATTCTTAAATCTCTGGTGACAGTTGGTAATTTGGTAAATATCTCTTAAGTTCACTATACAATATCCTATCTTTAACCCTGGAAAAAATAGTCCGTAAACCTGATGTTATGTCTACAAGGAAGTAGGAATGACTGAATGTATGTCATAATATGGCTAAAAAGATACACATTTCATTCCAATGGCAGGACTTTTATAAAGTTCTCTCAAATTCCATTGTTTTGTTTTTACTAATGTCCATGTTACCTGTTAATCAAAATCTAAAGTATTGATAAAACATTAGACTGTTGTTAATGAAGTACATTTGTAATTATAACCTTTGGTAAAATATGAGGACTCACAATAGTAGGACTTATATGGTAGTTCCAAGGGCATATTTACAGAAGTACGCCACCGTGTTTAAATAAAATAAACAAACAAACAAACAGTATATCCATGCATGGCATGCCAATCAGATATGTCAGTTCAGAACCACAAATGTAGACATTACGGAAGTCAGTGGCTATTTCAACTTGTGATTCATACTTTAATATCATACTGAACCTAGTCAATAATATGGTAAAAGTGTAGATTGTAAATAAAGTTAGTGCAGGTTCTAACTATATATTACTCAATCTCAAACAAGATTTTTCTTGACAAATCAAGGCCATAACATATATCAGTTATTCTAGTTAATGTTAATACAAACAAATCAAATTCAAAATCAATGAAGCCTGGCTTCATGCTTCATGAAAATTGCAAGAGCATACAATCAAATCTGCCATTTCATTGCTAGTTTTTCATCTACATGTACTTTTCAAACTTATTTTTAATTTCAGACTTATTCTTCTTATTTTTTATGAATTCATTTAATATATATTGTATTTTATCTTGAAATGTTCTGTGTATATTTTGATCTTTGCTTGTTTTTTAATCTAAAGAATGAATAAAAAATAAAGAACTGAACCGGACTGAAACAATACTGTCACCACTTTTTTTTATTTTACATTAAAGTCTTTAATCAATGACAGCTGGCACAAAGATTGCAAAAGTGCCATTTTTTTCAGACACAAAAAATGAAGTAAACATTCAATATACATGTACTTCAAAGAGTGGGGACCAATAAAAGCTCCGTAACCATCACATTTTAGTGCTAATGCACTTTTGCACTGAGCTCCTAAAAAAATGATTCCTTTGATTCCATTAAAAACTAGATGGAATTCGACTGCGCGCAGTCGAAAATGATGCCTCCTTCATAGAGCAATTTTACAAACCAAAACAGAAGAAATTTTTCGAATTCAAGTTCAATTGTAATCCATTGACAGGTTCTCAGAATATCGTGATTACAAGCAATTTCTCATATACATATATGACCCTTTGATCTTTGACCTCATGACCCTAAAATCTACTCAGTTCATTGGCTCTGCAAGATGTCCTGAGTTAAATAGTAATCCATCTGTCAGTTCTAATGAGAATGGTTCACAAGCTATTTTTGCATACATAATGAGCCCATGATCTTTGACCTTTGACCTTATGAACCAAAAATCTACTCAGTTCATTGGCTCTGCAAGTAACATAAATGACCTAATTTTGGCAGGAATCCATCAATCGGTTCTTGAGATAACGCGATCACAAGCTGTTTTTGCATACATAATGTGTGCTGTGGCCTTTGACCTTTGACCTCATGACCCCTAAATCTAATCAGTTCATCGGCTCTGCAAGTAACATACATGACCTAAGTTTGGCAGCAATCCATCAATCGGTTCTTGAGATAACGTGATCACAAGCTGTTTATGCATACATAATGAGCCCTGTGACCTTTGACCTTTAACCTCATGACCCCAAAATCTAATCAGTTCATCGGCTCTGCAAGATACATACATGACCAAAGTTTGGCAGGAATCCATCAATCGGTTCTTCAGATAACGCGATCACAAGAACAGGACGTACGTATGTACGTACAGACCGACGTACGTACGTACGACGTACGGACGGACGGACAACCCGAAAACATAATGCCTCCGGCTACTTCGTAACGGAGGCATAAAAATACAAGCGAAAGACGCATTTTACTTCTGAGATTGTGATTATAATAAATATGTATCAGGCTTGGCAGGAATGACAGCTCTAGTTTATCATAGCTAAATGCAAGTTCTTGCACAATGGCAAAAACAGCCTGCATTATCAGTACAATCCGATTGGAACTGCCTTCCAGAAGTCCCTGAAGAAAGAGACCTGGGGGTCATAACAGATGGTGAGCTGAAATTTCACACTCTGCTTCATCAGTCCTGAAAGCCAGCTATGTCCTTACATTCATCAAACCAGCCTTGAATACCAAAGCTTCTAGAAGAAAGCCGTCTTCAGCTGCCAAGCTTCCAGATCTAACTTCAAGGGGGGGGGGGGAATGTCCCATCTTGCACCATGGTCATTTTACATCTGTATCTTGCTTGCTGGATCATATCAGTATTGTCATTGTTAAAGTGTCTACTGGGAGAAGTGTGAATTATATTGCTCCCTCTTCCTACAACGATAGTGACACAATCACTAGATTATTGAAGGCTCTTGTGTGACTTATCCTTGAATATATGGGAATGTTTGGCATCCAAGATACAAGACAGACCGGAGATAGATTGAGAAGGTGCAGAGACGAGCATCAAATATCAATGCAGTTTGGCATCCAAGATACAAGACAGACCCGAGGTAGATTGAGTAGGTGCAGAGATGAGCATCAGAGCCAATTCCATCTGTGGCAATGTTGGATTATGGGAGCAGGGTTCTAGTGCTAAACTTACCATCCTTCCAGCACAGAATGGAAAAAGACAACTTGATCCATACTTACAAGATAATAAATTGAAATGACTGTTGGATAAGGATATGTTCCTCTTAACTGTCACTGTAGAGGTAACTCAAGGTCAACCATTCAAACTCTTTTGGAAAAGAACCAGACTGGACGTGAGAGCAAATGCTTTTGCAGTTAGAGTCATGAGTGACTGGAACTGCCAACCAACTGAAGTTGTCACTGCCACATCTGTGAACTCTTTTAAAGCCAGGCTTGACAAATTTGGCAAGGTGAATTATACTCTCAAACACACATAGCTGCATTTATCCTGGCTGTGTATTAAAAACTGTTCTTATTGAGTCTCAACGTTTCAAACACCACTGTACAAAACTCAATTGAGTTCACTCAAAATTGGTACTTTAGTGACAATTGATGACACCTAAATAGCAGTAAAATACAATCTTTTCAACTTACCGATGTTAGAAAGAATATTTTGAAAATTCAAATCGTGAGTCTAGTGTCAAACTTGCCGATCAGCCACATGGTATTCATTGTGTGCATTAGAGTGCAATTGTGTGCAGTGTGTGTATTGTGTGTAATTGCTGCCTCTCGATATCTCAGCACGTAATACAGCGCTAGAGGTCAATACCCATTAGCATTCACTCTTTGCTTTGATCGAGTACTCTCAAACTAAGTCTCATCCTTGTGAAGATTTGATTAATTAATATCAAAGCAATGTGAAAATCACACAATGACACTTTCATCTTTCACACATCATCAGATAACATTTTTGGAGGAAGATGGTACTTTGATGAATTATAGACCTGTAAACCCGTCTACACAGAGTCGGGCTAACTGGGACCAAAAACAACTCGGCCCAGCTGCAAAAACGGTCAGTTTTCGAGTCTTTGAGCCGAGTTAGCCCGGCCCGGATTCCTCTACACATATCTGCATTTTCCAGTAAATTTGGTTTATTGTTTACACAATGATCGAAGCTAATTTTGTAGGCACCCGGTGCATGCAGGTGCAAAAGTACATTCATTAAGCGCCCAGATTTCCCTATATTTTTTTTAAGCATTCTGACATTTTAGTTTTCAAGAGTAAAAACTATTAGTTGCAAAATATTATAAAGCGATTGCAAACTGTTAAAATGCATATTATTAAACATGTGGGACTATGTGTTGAAAGAAACGCTGCAAAGTTGTACAAATATCTAAAATCTTACGTCCATTCTGCGCTTGTTGTTTAATTCATCCTTCATCCTGTTTTCCTCTTGTGACATTTCTGGGATGAAAAGCAGAGTCCTGAGCATGAAAAATACTGCTACACATAAAGTAAGAGTCAAAACACATCTTTTTGCGCGGAACCTCATCTTTCCAGCTTCACTGATTCACGGATCGCAGCTCCGAGTCAAATGTTTTCTTACGTCTTCTCATTTTCTGCTGACGGCAGACGTACCGGCGATACTTTGGCTAGCGTTAGGCTACTCGAGCAGCCAGGACGATCGAGGAGGGCGTAGGCAAAAGTAAGCTTCAGCCTTGGTTGCGTTTGGTTGTAAAATGTAAAAAAATGCGATATAGTATATAGTACCATTTTTCTTGTTATGTATTTAAGTTGATATTCAAACGATAGCATACATAATATTCCTACTATTTACCCTGTTTAAGCAGGCAAGGTTCTAAAAAAAAATAAGGGGGGGGGGGAGGGGGTGGGGAGGAGCTGGCAGTTTTTTTAAATATTCCATGCCTTGTTTAAATTCTTTCATAAACAAAATTTGCGGGGCTTGAAAAATGTTGGGAAGGACTTGAGAAGATGCGTCGCTCCCTTTTTACATAAGAAAAGTGCCCCTTTTACTTTGATAAGTGCCCCTATTAATTTGTAAAAGTGCCCCTTCCCCTTTCCACCTCTGATAAGTGCCCCTTTTATTTTGACTCGTACCCCTTTTCCTTTGACAAGTTCCCATTTTCCTTTGCAATAAGTGCACCTTATATTTTCACATGTGCCCCCTTTTCTTTTTAATAAGTGCCCCTTTTCCTTCCTTATAAATGCTCTTTTTCCTTCGTATAAGTGCCCCTTCTGCTTCTCATAATTACCCCTTTTCATCTTTGATAAGTGTTTGTTTTAACATGTGCCTCTTTTTCTTTTTTATAAGAGCCACTCCCCCCCCCCTTTCACAAAAGCCCCTTTTCACTTCTTATAAATGCCCATATCAAAATATGATGGGTGCCTCTTTCCCGTCAACAAATGCCCATTTCCCATTCTCATAAAGTCCCTTTTTATCCCTGGTGCGTGCCTCTCTTTTTAGGTGTAAGAAGTGCCCCATTTTCACCTCTGATAATTAGCCTTTGTACTTTGACACGTGTTCCTTTTCTTTTCTAATAAGTGTCTTAACCCTTTCGATAAGTGTCCCACTTTCCTCTCATCATTAAACGTGCTCCTAATTTCAAGCGACTGAGAGCAATTTCCCCCATAGCTCGCTCGCCACGGTCGCTCGTAGTTATAGATGTTTTAATTATGTAACTTATCAAAGGCCTTTTCAGTCTTCCGTTAACAGAATGTGCTTATAACCCCATCAGGATTGGTTTTTCCTTTTTATAAGATGAAATTTTTCGCACTGCGACCTCAACAATCTTAACATTTTTCCTTGCTCGCTTTGCTCAGTTACAAATGAATGTTTAGACCATCACACCCAATTGCAAAGTATGATGCTTAAGTAATATCTTATATGATGTATAAAGAGATACAAATATTGAAATCCTCCCTGATAATGTAATCACAATATAGGGGTATATACCAATGTTTAAACAATCAATCATTATGCGGATTGCGGAAATTTGGTGAAATAGAATTTTGGTATACTATTAAAATTGTTGAAATGATGTGTGACGGTTCCATAAGACTTGGATCCAAGCCTCACTTTATAAATATATTACTAATATAAAACAAAACAATATTCATATCCATTTATATTATCGAAGGAGTCGTGGCATCATGATGCGAGCCTTGCTTTTCTGCTGGTTTGTGCCTCCTTCTATTTACTTAATTATTTAATATACTGATTTATATATATTTACCACATTGCACCGATAAGGGGAAGGAAATCCATTTGAAATCCAATCAATCAATGCACAGGATAAGCAGTAGGCAATTTCATATAAGTTTGGCAAGTAAATTCACACATATTCTTTTTTTGGTTAATTAAAAGTTGATCATAGGGAAATCTGACCTTGATAGCAAACTTGTCTATAGAAAAAAAAAGTTTAAGTGAAATCGGATACAAAATGAGAAAGTTAAGATTTTTGGGAAAGTTGGAATCATTATAGGTATGAGCTCTTTAAATTGCCTGAATCGTTAATGTCTCTGTAATGTAGTGGCAGACAACTTTCCCATTTATTCCAACATACAAAAATGACTGAAATTCTATTTGTCAGAAATGTATGACTCGACCAGAAAGAAATTTCTTTTTAGAGGACCTGTAATGATATACTCTCCAAAATACAAGTCAATGCGCTTGTGCCGTCCAAAGCCGTCGGCTGTCTGGTTGTTTACTAACAAGCATTTACCGGTATGCTTTCTTAGCAGCCAGGTAAAATAACTACCATCCCCACCTATAAGAACACCTAAAAGAAAACATATTTCGATTACTGCCCGATGAGGGAGAAAACAATAAAAAAGTGAAATATTTGGACACGACAAGAAGGAGAGTAATCCACCACTACGTCACAATCCACTGACAAAATTGCCTATTTATGATTCACATATCTGTAAATGACTACATAGTTCAAACATTCATTATTTTTTAAATTATTGGTACAATTTATTTAAAACTTTCGCAATTACGTTTCTCTGATCTTTCTGCTTTCATTCAAATGAACTTATTATAAGGGTTGGAATACTCTTTAAAGGGCAAGTCCACTCCAAAAAATAACTTATTTGAATATAAGCAGAAAAATCAGACAAACCGATCCAAAAAAATTGAGCAAAATCGGATAACTAATAAGAAAGTAATGAATTTTTGAAAAAGTATGTAAAACTATGGAATAGTGAGAATCACATGTACACAAATTGCCGATATGGTTATCAATTTGTGACGTCGTGTCCTCACTGTTTATCAATTGCTTTATATAGTTTAATCCCATTAATTTCCCTCTTTATCCCCCCAAAAAATGTCCATGCCTTTGCCCAGTTTATATGATTTGTATCATATTGCGTGCATGACATCAGGCGCGGATCCAGGATTTCTTAGGGGAGGGGGCCCAACTTTTTTTTTTTTTGCTCCCAAAAATTTGAAAATCGCGCCGGCCGAAAAGTCGCTCAGTGGGGGGTGGGGGGAGGGGGGGGGAGGGGGGGGAGGGGGGGGGGGGGTGGGTAGGCGGACACTTTTTTTTTTTTTTTGGAGTCCCCCAAAAAAAATCTCAATGACTCAACCAGCCGAAAAGTCGCTCAGTGGGGGGGGAGGGTAGTGAGCACATTTTTTTTTTTTTTTTTCCTCGAAAATTTTGCACCCCCCCTTGAGCGCCGGGGGGGGGGGGGCCCAACCTCCCCAAAAAGGTAAAAAATCGCGTGATTTTACATGATTTTTTTTTCAGGGGGGGGGGGGGCCGGGCCCCCCCCCCCCCTGGATCCGCCACTGCATGACATTACTATCAATCTAACTTGGATACTGGTGTGAAGAAATAAGATTCTTAGGGAGGGAAATTTATATTACAAATATAAAGAAAAATAATTAGTAGATAGTGAGGACATGACGTCCCAGACTCATGAGTGAGTTGCCAATTTGTCTTGTGATTTTCTAAGTTTTTCATGTCATTACAAATTCATAAATTTCTTATTAGTTATCTGATTTTGCTCAAACTTTTTTTTATTGGTTTGTCTGATTTGTTTGCTTCTATTGAAAGTAAGTTATTTTTGGAGTGGACTTGGCCTTCACCTCGATGAGTTCATAATCCCTATCCTTCCCCAATTTACCACAGCCGAGTAGAGAGAGAATGAGAGAGAGAGAGAGAGAAAGAGAGAGAGAGGGGAGTAAAGTATACGAAAGCAATTTTAGCCCAAAAAGAAATTTTCCAACAAACTTGATTTCCTGCCAAAAAGAAGTATAATGCTTTGTGACGTCATAAAGACCAATGTTTTGATTGTTCAGCAGGTGATTGTGACGTCATGAAGACCAATGTTTTGATTGTTCAGCAGGTGATTGTGATGTCATAAAGACCAACGTTTTGATTGTTCAGCAGGTTATTGTGACGTCATTAAAAGTAAGATGCGCATCGCCTACAGCGCGCACCGGATATAATCAAGCGTAGTGCGCGCAATCGGTCTGGTTATACCATAGAGATATATACTTAATAAGGCTAGAGTGCGGACTCGTCATACGCGCCCGTTCAAAGCTCTGTGCGCGCATGGAGCGCGGTCCGCCATTACTAAGGAGGGCACAACTTCGAGAAATACCCGGATGTTCCCTTCGAAACTGTGCTACTGATATGCAATGTGAAGCTTCATTTTTCGGGTTGATTTATCGGTTTTCGAGTATGAAACGTTAAAATTGTGGTATTTTGCATAATGCATGAACCCTACTCATGCCTCAGTCATGGTATCTGGTGTAGGTCAAGATTAATTACGGATGTTATGGTGAGGTAAAAGGGACACAAAAAGCTATTTATATTTCAGTATATCTTCAATTTTTCTTCCTCTTTGTCAATATAAAACTGCGATATTATGACATTAAATATTACTTGGCTTTCAACCAATCAGAATCAAGCATTTGGGACTTGTATTTGATATTTATGTCATGATATTAAACAAAGTTTTATGCTACAGGGCCAATGCCGGGGGCCAATGTCTTTCTAATTCAGTTATTATGAGAGCCAGGGTTTATTGATTTAAAATGCTTTAAAGGTAATATATTCATTTTATGTTTATGACTATTGTAAACAGATTGATACTTATAGATTTGGGATAGAGATGGGTATGTAGATAGCTAGACACATAAATAGATGGATAGATAGATATAATATAGAAGGATGGGTAGATAATGGAAATGCAGATAAAGGACGATACTGAAGATAGGAAGAGGGGGAAGGAAAGAATTATAGGCCTACACATTTATTTTAAAAAATTATGTTATTTACTCATCCAATCATTCATCCATCCATCCAAACATTCTTTTTCTTCTTCTCTCACTCATTTTATATCAAATTCACACCTTATGTCTTTCACCCATTCTCTATAAAATCTCTATTTTTGTCTGAAAGAGTAATTCAATTTTTTACAGTTCACTATAAATATATATGAATATTCTTTAAAAACAGCTGATCATTGATGTAATAATTATTTATTCACACCACTTTTTTTCTCCATAAATAATATTCTCCTTGATACAGTGTATTTCTTATTTTCTTCATCAACCAGTTTTAGAGAATAAACTTATAATTAAATTTGAAGAA